ATTATTATTATTATTATTATTATTATTATTATTATTATTATTATTATTATTGCTATCATTATATACGATTTTTTATCTTTTCGAAGCCTCTCTCAGAGAATATTACCTTAGCTTGACATTTATATCCGCAGCATCCGACACATCATCTTGGCCAGACCAATCTTCTCGTAGTCCCGCCTACTAGTATTTTCGTGGACCAATCCAGTTAATCCAGCTAAAGCACAACTGGTGATTTTTTTTCAGCCAGAAATTTCTCAACATGGCAGAGTTCACTCATTCACTTTTACACTGTTCTGCAGTGCTCACAAATATTTTTTGCTAAAGTGATAAATCCTCATTAATTCAGACTTCATTCTTAAACTTATATTTAATATAATTATGTGCATTTAAAAATAGTGTCATAAAGAGTGAAGCAAGTGAATTAATGTAAATAGTGAAGTAATTATACAATAAATCGACAAACATTACTGGAATTTATTTTACATTATTTTTAATTATAATTCTCTATAAACTTATATTTCCTATAAACAGATACGTGCATAAGATAAAAACGTGGATTTTCAAATGTCATTAACGCAAATTATGTGCTAACTTTTGACGAGTTCGTAGAAAAGACGATGAACGACGTTAAAACTTTCATCATGGATAACGCTAATTGTTCTAGACAATTGAAATTTGGCGTGGATCGCATATTATCGAATGAAATTTTTACCAAAAAAACAGGTAAATATAAATAGCATTTGAAAATTATTATAAAAATAATTTATAACATACTACTACATAGAATTGTTTTTACTTTTATATATAATAATCGTAATTAACTTATAACTTATTTCACAAATTTTTTTCGGATAGCTTTCCATATCAAGTTACATATTCTCTTTTTAATCAAATCTATTAACTTAATGGAATTTATATGTATTAATTTTTCCTCATTCATAACTTTAAATAAAAATTATACTTTTTAATTTTAATACTTCTTTCTAACAATAATAAAGCTCTATGTCATTACAATTATATAATGTATGTCTAATAATATTATTATTTCTATATATATCTTATAAAAATTTTAATTTACCGAAATCGGTACGTTGATAGATATTCTTAAGCCACTTCCAATACAACTTCCATCAATACGTTGTCCCTGCATCGAAAGTTGCGAGCGATGCGAAAATGTCAGAACTTGCATTTCATTTCCGCATGTCCATTCGTCATTACCTGAGGGCATTACATCTGCATCTTATACTGGCCTGATGGAGGGTATAGGAACTTTATATCGGCCGGCACCGTTACGCCCCGTACCAAGAGGTAAATCCTAATACACTAGATTTTTAATATATCTCGATTTACTCAAAATTTGCATTAGAAAAATTTAATATTTTACACTACATAATGTGTCCTAGAGAGAGAGAGAGAGAACTATCTGATATTTTTATAATTGTAGAAATAAATGCTTTTTTCTCACTGAAAATCAAGTCGAAACAAGTTCATTATTTATTGTATCTTTTCAATATTTAAGATTGTGCAAATTTGCAACTTAACATTTATGCGTTCTATTAAAATAAAGTCTAATTGATATTAGTTAAATATAACTTTATCATATGGTTTGTCTTTTGAGAATCAGCTTGTCAGACGCTATGACCATTTAAAATATCGAGTAGAGTTTTCCTATATAAAAGGATTCATAAGAATATCCTAAAAAGATTCAACTAATTATAAGCGTCGCCGGTCACATCATTGCTCCCAAATGTTACCATATGGACATACTGTCTTGTCCTTCTGATATTCAGAAGCAAGTAGAACAAAATATTTACGTATCAGTGTATTCACGTGTTTCCTGTCTGTGTTTAAACGACATCTTAAGTGCCACCAAGCGTTTATGCATGGCGTAAACAGCGGTTTCGATGCGCATTTTCTCGGTTGGTTGAAATCTATAGTAACATCTATATTTTTTCTTTTTTTATTTAAGACTCTCTCTCTCTCTCGCTCTCTTATCTCCTCCCTCTTTCTGCATTCTCCCTCCCGTATTCATAAAATTACTGCATGTAGGATCTAAAACAAGTGTATATTTAATAAATCTGAGCAATTATACACTAATCTAATCATTCATATTTTTAGCAAATTCTATTTAAATAGAAACAAAATAATAAGTTTATAAATATAATAATAGCAATATAAATCAAAATTTTCGAGTTATTACAAAAATTTGGTATATCTAATTATTAAAAAATCTTTTTATTATGCTATGTTCTCTCTCTCTTTCTCTCTTATATTTTTCCATAATATTATTAATGTATAAACTCCCCTATATTATTAGATTAATTCTTTGCAACATCCAAAATTAGATGTAGCAGAATCTACAAATTAGAAATATACTGGACTAGAAATCAACACAGAAACCTCAAAATAACTATGACGTTAAAGTTATCTGTCCGAATTTGTACGAAGATTCGGTTTGAGCGGGAGTACCACACTGTTTAAATACGTACAGATGTTGTATACTTTCGTACGATCGTAAATCAGCCCGAAGTACCCCATACTCTCCGGGGTTTCTTCGGACTAACAATAAGATCTCTGTATATGTAGAACTGAGACCTATCGCGCTAAGAGCAGCATTTATCTCTAATGATGCTTCTTTATCTCTGTTTAATTTGCAAAAAATTCGTAAATTGTTTTCCTTGAATGTAGGTATATTTAATATTTTCGAAATAAATCCTCTCTAAATCTCAAAAAATTGTTTAATATATTTCCAATAAGTACTTTTAAAATAAATTTTTATATTATCAAATGCAAAAAATTAAGTTTTATACATACATATATATATTATTAGAAAAATTATTAAGTTACAATATAAAATTCTCAAGTTTGTTAGGAGACAACTGAGATAATAATATTCACCTTTCAGCACTTATTTCATCTTCCTCGACGGTGAACTCTTCGAAAACAAACACACGGAGAAAGAGGTCGTGGTCCAGAGCCGTCTTTAGTTCTTTACAGCGGAAAGGCTTGGAAAGAAGATTCTCTCTACAGAAATACATCACGAAACCAGACAGACGACAGTTGGCAGCAACTTTAGGTCTAACCGACGCACAGGTTATATAATTTATCAAATAAAATCTGATATGTCAACTTTGTGTCCTGTAAAATAAAGAAATTTTAATATTTGTTATTGCACTTTTAAGGAAATAATATTAATAATAAAAAACATCATATTTATGTTTCAAAAAGTCATCTTTACATCATTAGGTCAAAGTTTGGTTTCAAAATCGTCGGATGAAGTGGCGGCATACAAGAGAGAGCGAAAACGCTGCATTGACCGGTCCAGATTCCACGCAGAAGGATTTTCCGCAAAAATTAGTTGAATCCATCGCCAATGATACGATGCAACAAGACGAAGAAGATATAGAAATCGATTAGACTTATATTACGAAATTTCCACATATAAGGCAAAAAATAATTTTATTTTAAAATATAATTGCATCTATAAGCATTTATCAAAAGTCTAAGAATTATTACGAGATGACTATATATATATATATATATATATATATATATATATAATATATGATGATTATATAATATATAATAAATACAAATCGTACCAATGTGGTTAATAAAAAATATCACAATAGTAGTGCGGTTGTACGGTTGAACTCGATTTAGGTTAGGGGCGTTCGGAAACGTCACCCGACACCCGAGCGCACACGAGCACACTCTCTCCTTCTATCTCAACAAGTTAGAAAGAGAAGGGAGCACAACCGAGTGATGCTTCCGAACGCAGCCCGGTATATATCTGACGGACTTTACTTGACTTGTGTCTTGTGTCGGCGAAAGGACTACCTTAATAAAACTTTATTCATACACACATTAATACGATTTTCTATTTTTTCGATATGCTGCCGTGGCAACGTTTTTGTTATTTCCTTTCTCGTCAGTATTAAGTGTGTTAACATATATAACTCGATCGCCATTACATGGCAATATTTGGCGATCTTTTTAGACTTTCTAAACAATATTTATTAGCAGGTATGAACAAAAATTCAAATTTTTGTTAATATATTATATATGTTAATGTATCATATATACATTAAATAGCTCGCATCTGTGTTTCTAAACAATCTCACGTACATTTAACTGCATTTTATATTTAGGGTGTAAGACTGTGTCTTAATTAACACTATAAAAATATCATAATTTCAAAGCAAAATGATACGTTGCTTAATGCAATCCATTCTTGTTGCTCGAGATCTTTCATTGCAAACGTACAAAAAATGTTTATATCGCTCAACGATGAAACTGGCAGATACGTTAACAAATACTGAGGAAAGAAAATGTGTGCCACTCAATTCAAATGACGTAATAGGTAAGAAAAATAGTATATATAGTTAATTATTCGAATAATCACCGTTTAATAATAATATTTAGTAATATTCGAAATGCAAGTGACATATAAATATGTATATAAACTAATTGTAAATCACTGCACATTTTAAGAAGAAAATATTTTGTCATAGTCTTAATATTAATGGGTATTACTCTGTCGCATCTCAAATTTCTCTAATTCAGCCGCCTCTATGACGCAATCGCATGTAATTCCAACGGTAAATGCAACTGTAACGTCAACACAAACGATGCCATTATTGGAGACGGCAAAATCTGAGACAGCCATGGAAAGCTTTAAAATTCCTACATCCAAAGTTGTGCCACGTGTTCGTATAGAAAAAGCACCATTACCATTTGAGGAGATTCCTGGCCCAATGATTCTGAAATTATGGGAAAAATATTGGAGATACGTGCCACTCTTGGGTACGCAACTGTTTTGCAGTCTGCTAATAAGCAGACTTACCCAGGGTACGATCCCTTGAATTTCAATTGCCTTGAAATTCGAAAAGCTCTTTTGTATTTTTAAATTGATTTCAAAGAATTAAAGATGTGAAACAAAATTTCGTTTTGTCTTTGTACGTAATAATGCACATAGAATGTAAATTAATTTTGCTTTTTCGAATTTTGAGCAAATTGCTTCCTATAAGGCTTACAAAAATAGGTGAAATATACAAAATATATGAAAAGTTTCTAAATTTTATAGATGCATATGTATTTAAATAAGTTACATATTTATATACCGTAGTATAGGAAAAAACTTTTAAGAGCTATATTTTTTTATAAAATATTATGAAAAAAACACATTGTTATTATATGATAAAATATTGCATATGTATAGAATAAACTTTAATATCTAAGAAAGTGAAGAAATATTAAGAAATATTAAGAAATATTAACGTAACAAATATTTGTTACAGTATAATTAATCTTATTAATAATGTAAACGGTTAAACAAATTAATGTGCAAGAATTATATAAAAGAAACTTCATAATCTGTTATTATATTAATTAAGAATAATTTGATGTTATATTGTAGGACGATTATCCTGGAATCGCAATATCACGCCAATCAAGTACTTGTTTGATGAATATGGGTGCATCGTGCGGATTAACGGACCGCTTGTGAATGATATAATTATGATTCACAGGTGAGATATCATAGCTTTCATATTTTTCGCAACAATCAATTCACTAATCATTCTAGGCCTGAGCACATAGCAGAAGTTTTCAAACAGGAAAGCGAGTCACCTATTCGTAGTGGCATCGATATCCTTCAACATTACCGCCTTAATCATCATAAATATCGTTCCGCTGGAGCGTTTTCTCTGTAAGTAAATAATACAATTGATTATGAAAAAAAAATTCAATACAACCATTAAAATGTTGTATATAAAATAATAAATTTAATTGTGCAAGAGGATACAATAATTTAAATTCATATCCTAAAGAAATGTTTATTTTTAAATAAAACAAACCTGAATATTTAGTCATGTTTCGTTTATATGTAAGCTTTCGTGAGTTTGATAAAAATATAGCTTAATACAATATGTTACCTATAATATACGTTATCTTTCTTTAAATATTTAACAATTAGTTTTATTATTTTCTCGGTGTCTATAGATAGCATTTAATAATGCATGCAATAATTTAATAAATAATTGGGTAATAAATTTTATAAAATATTAGACAAGATTTGGAATGGTTGGAAGTGAAAAAGAAAATTAATCAGCCGTTGCATGAGACTATTTCCGATTATATTGGAAAATTGGATTCAGTGTGTGACGAACTTACTAATAGAATTCGTAATATACGTAACCGTCAAGATGAGGTACGACAGCGAATAGTAAATAATTAATATTGCTGCACAATAATATTAATTATCTTAAATTTAACCTACATTTCTTCTATATAAATAATATTTAAAAATGGGACAATGTGTTTTATATAATATATATGGAAGCAAACTCAGGTCTCACAAAATTAATAATGAGTAAATTTGTTTAAAAAAAAACGAACAAACACATTTTATTGTGCATAACTACTAAACGTTAATATAACAGTTTAAAAAGTAGTACTTTAGTTAGTATTTGAACAACAGGTACCAGCAAATTTTCATCGAGAACTCACAGCATGGGGTATGGAATGCTTCTATATGACGATGTTCAACAAACACTTTGGTTTTCTTGATTCTACCTCGAAATCAGCCTCTGAAGCTACAAAAATTATTAATGCATTAATCACGGCTCACACGTATATGAGTCGCTGCGAAACTGGATTTCAGGTGTGGAGATTCTTCGAAACTCCATTCGCTAAAAAACTTTATGCAGCTTGCGACGTTCTTGACGAGTAAGTCAACAAAGTTTATCTGCTTTAATAAAGCTTACTTACTATAACTATGTGCTTCTGTTTACATAATAAATATGAGCGTGTATAATTACAATTTTATTTATTATTTATTTAATTACGTTAATTACATAATTTTTCAATTTTAATATTATATTTTGCTAATTTCTCAAATGGCCATTTACTTACTTATTTTTTCCAGAGTTATTGGAAAATATATTCGTCAAACTCAGAATAAACTGCAGACTTCATCACTGTCAAAGCAAGAAAAATTTACGAATGAAGAGAGAAATTTACCATTACTCGAAAAAATGATGATTCAGCGTATTCATCCAAATGACATTTCTATCCTCTTGATGGACACGATTATTCTAGGCGTTCAAGCTGTAATACGCAATAATTTAACATAACTGTAATAAGAATGTAAATTACTTTTATCTTAAATTTTCAGGTCATTAATTGCGAAGCATTCCTACTTTATTTCCTAGCGAAGAATCCTAGAGTACAGAAACGGTTGTATAATGAAATAATCTCTGTTTCATCTAAAACGTCTAAAGAATGTACTCAGACAAAAGAAAGTTTGGAAAATATGCCATATCTAAAAGCATGCATAAAAGAAAGTCTTAGGTAACAAAAATTGTAAAAGTAAGATAACTTTATGTAACATTATAATTTGGATTATTTAAAATTTTAAATAGTTCTAAATTATTGTCTATAAAAAGTGGCAAAGTGGGAAAATAACTAAATGTGTCAACCAATTATTATATGTAATGATTTTTTATGAAAGGTTGCGACCAGCATTTCCCTATTTAACAAGATTATTATCGTCGGCAATTTCGTTACATGGATACACGATACCAAAAGGAGTAAGTTGTATATAGATGTTAGTTGAAGTCTAGAAGCGATATAATGAATAATTTTTATTTTCTAGACTTTTGTCATAATGGCAAGTCAAATAACGTCACAGCGTGAGGAACATTTTGAAGATCCTGAAAAATATCAACCTGAAAGATGGTTAAATCAGGATGAATATGCGTATAATGATTATCAAGAGTATTCGTGTCTACCTTTTGGCTATGGTGTACGATCCTGTCTGGGACGAAATATGGCTGAAATACAAATGATGTTACTTACTGCAAAAGTATATAAGTTTTATTAGGCATTAAGGCGTAAGTAGGTATAATAAAGAAGAGATATAAAAATATATCTTATTTTTTACAGTTGGTACAAGAGTTCACAATCGAGTATGATTATGCTGAGATTCAAAGTCGATTTCTTATGATAAATGTACCAAATAAATCATTACGTTTTCGATTTGTAGATAGAAATTAAAAAAGAAAAAGAAATATGGAATTCAGATTAAAAGAATCTGAAAAAACAAGATAATTATTAGATATGAAGATGTATCTTTCCTATAATCATATATATTATAAGAATTATTATTGCAAGATTACCTCTGTACAAAAGCTGTATGAAGGAGGAAAAAAACTTATGTATTAACCGTACTATTTTCTTATGTCAAAAACTACATAATTATTTTATTAACAAAATAGCTTAGAAGTTACAGTAAAATATGTATTTATGTTTGTATTAAATGCGCTCTAATCTACTTGAAACGTACAAATTATTTGTAAGAAAAGTATATTTGTACTAATTAAAACGTTAGAGATTATGATATTAATTGTTACAAATAAAATCACTAATTTAACAACTATTGTTAAAATTTATTTATAGATATATATAACTCTATTAATATATATATATATATATATATATAATCTATTATATATCTATTATAATATATGTATATAACTCTATTAATATAATATAATTAATATACACTGGGCAACAAAATTATCGCAACAAAAATTTTCGTCAAAAATTTGCCCAACTTCAAATAAGCACAACTCCGCGAAAAATTGTCATATCTGAAAGTTTTTTTT